CACAATTCACAGGGGCGTGGCCCTCTAACAATAAAGCACACAAAATATTATCAATGGGTAGCGTTTACACTATTTTTTCAGGTAAGCCAACGATATATATTCGACTATATATATGTATATTTATTTATATGTTCAATTTACATACTATTGTGCTTTCAAAAGCTCCCTCAATAACGAAAAACATCATGAGTTGTGCATATGATAAAGCTTAGCACAGCCAACTAAGCAAATTCTCTAGCCGAGCACGAGCTTTTCGGGATTCTGGCACAGAAACACGCTAAAAGCTTATTTGCGTTTCACAAATATGGCTATCCTTGAGTTGGGCTTTCAAGCCAAATAGCTTGTTTGTTCTTCTTTGAAAGGTGACATGGATGAAGAAGGCAAATTTGTCGAGCGCATTGGTTTATGTCCACTCTTTAAACCGAATCCAAGGCAATTGCAAACTTTTTGAAATAACTTTATATTTCGTATAAACTGCCGTTTCTAATTCGATTCATATTATATAGTTTTACTGGACATCTGTTTTGCCCAAAACAATTACTAAATGAGACATTAGGAATGAGTTACGTTTTTGTTCTTAGATTGATTTATGCATTTCGCATTGTTCGAGTACTGAATGAAAGGATAAACTGTTAGCTACCCTGACCTTTGCTGACCTAGCATAACAATAACAATAACAATATCTGTTCAACTTCCCAGCTGGCCGTCTCTGCAATGAATGCATATGTGTGTGTCTCAAATTGGTCGGCCAAGAGGGGGAGCAAGAGATAGGAACAGATTGGTGGTGTAGCAGGGGAATGGGGGATGCATAGTTTGGACATGTCTAGCCAGGCACGCGGATATCAAATCGCTGGGGAGTCCCATTCGGTGACGTCGCCTTTTGTTATAAGCGACATCAAGAGCTCTCCCAATGCTGCTGTTGTTGCTGATGATAATTATGGATTAATGCGGCATACGATGAATGGACACACTGCATGTTGACGTTGCAATTACGTGCTGCGTCAACCGTCAAGTAGCAGACACAAGCCCCAAATCGCAACTCCCCAACCCCATCCCGCATAATACAAATGTTTTGTAGTGAAAATCGTGCAGCCGGATGAAATGAAGCGATGACTGCGCAACTATTTTTGGAGCAGCCGCCACAAAACTTATCAATTCTCTTTCTCCAACTGTTTGACTGCACACTTTTCCATATTCTTGCCGCGCCTTGTCTTTGCCTCCACCCTCCACCTCCCCCTTCAGCAAAGCAGCCCCACGTCTCTCGACCACTTCATATTATTATATTTGTATGTCGGTGCTATTTTCGGTAAAAAACAAAACGGGGAATGCAACCGCTTGACCCCATTTAAACTTTACCAATGGAACGGCACAGCCCCCAGCAATGGGCAGCGGGGAAGGGTGTCGCTTGTGGGGCATTGCATTGACGTTGGCAGAGCATCCGACTGGGGCGGCTTAGTTAATTATTCTCCGGCTGCATTTGCCTGGGGCAGTGTTAATTTGAGCGTATTTTATCAATTTGATGCACGAGCTGCTTGATATTTGTATTAATTTATTTAGGCAACCTAAGAGCAGCTAGATAATTATATGCTAACAGGGATGCCAGCGGAGCGTGAAGGCGCCAACAGAAAAACGAAATCCAAAAAAGAAAGGAAAAAAAAAAACGGAGCATCGGAAAACACTGAAAGTAGCATTTAATTTACGAGGCGATTTGTGTGTGGCCAAAAATGTATGTTGTTGTATCGAAGACGGCCCTCGAGGGAATACCCAGATGCATAAGCATATCATTAAATTATAATATCCTATTTATCAAATCATATTTATTCCTGATCGCAACAACAACCGACACAACCATTTGACATCTCTCGACCGGTGGCAATCAAACTGTATGCACTTAATGCCCAATATCTTCAGTGATTGTCGATCATAAATCTCGAAATAACATTAGAGAACTGCAAGATCCACAGGCCTTCCCCACCTAATAGATCAGCCAGTCAGCTGATTGTCATTTGGGTGAAAAATGTAGAGCTGAGATTTCCGAATGATTTCTGCCATGAATGCCATGACTGCCTCCCAAGTCGCAAGTCGAACTGCTTTGGATAAGTTTAAATTCTCTTGCTTTTTAAATTTACATATAAATAATGATCAAGTTTTTAATGCCAATAATAATAATTTAAGGGTATTAAGAGTATTTTAAAGATCGGTTGAGTTCTGAAAAGTTATTGTTTGGAACCATTCCATAACATGTTTGTTAGGCTCTGATAAAGTTATGACAACGAAAAGTCCTTCTTTGTAGTTTCTTCCATCACAAGAAATATATATTATATGATATCTATCTACATATCTATCTATCTAACTTGTCCTTGTCTGAAATGAATAGTTGTTGTCTACGAGTCAACAATTAGCAATGCTGCCACTGTTTTCCATACTTACTCAGACTTTGGGCATAATGCAAAAATTGGCGTTGTTCCCAACCAACAAAGTGTTATGCATTTTCACGCTCGTATTTTGGCTAATGTTTTGTGTATTAATGAGGCGATGCTTTTCCGGCACAGACGTCGAGTCGACTGCACTAAAAGCATAAAACACAATCTGAAACTGAAACAGACGCCGAGGTTCGGCGTCTGTTCGACAGAAGCTATAGCTGAATCAGGTTCTAAGTATGGCCAAAAGAAACTGTTATCTTAATGGACACATTATGCATTGAAATGTGCTGTTGTCTTTTGTCTCAAGCAGCCCGACTCACGTAGACCAAAAACCAATTGAATTTTAATAGACCCAGTTACTGTTACATATGTAGGCTTGTGTATACCCAATACCAATCCAAATCCCAATTCCAATCTCAGCCTGCCAAAGCACATACATTGTATTTTGAAAATGCTCGTTTATTGTTGCCTTTGCGGCAGCTGTCCATCATGACGCTATTTTCCGCTGCGACATGTGACAACATAATAAAATCGCCAATGGATTGCAGACAGTTTTTATTTGCATAACTCCAACTCTCAGGCTAAACTGGGGCTGGCAGTCGGCAGTCGGCATTCGGCACAGGCCTTATTGATATGCTCCACATGGTGTCTGGGAGAGAGAATGAAACACGCATAAAACTCTATGACGATATGTCCTGCATGTGTCCTGCTAGTGTCTTGCATGTGTGTGTAGAATTGTGGTGAAGCCTTTGTCTGGCTGATTGCAGCAATAATGAGCGGAAATCGCACAAGCAACAAGAACAACAAGGATACAAAGGGCCAAGTTGACAAACATCTGGACAGCATTGTAAAGGACATTTTGTGTCCTTCCTCAGTCTCGACTCGGCTAGTCTCGTCTCGTCTTGACTCCTTTTCTATTTGCATTCATTTCACTTTAGTGGATGGGATGCTGTTGCTGCCGTTGATAGTTGCGGATTTCTTGTGAGTGCGCGAAATAAATATAAGCATAATGTAAATAATTTCGTTCCACGCACAGTGGGTCGACACTGATAATTCCTATATGAATATGAGATAAGCCAAATCATGGCTTAACTGGAGCGATGGGGGAATCTTCATCTCCCCTGCTGATAGCAGATAGCAGACAGGCGATCAAAAATGTATCATGGATTGAACTCATCTTCTGTATTGTTTGTGCAATAATGTTATCGAGTAATTCATACTCGCACATCAATCAAATAACTGATATTCTTTTGTATCTTATACTGTGCAAGAATATCATGACTTAAAGCTTTAAATATTCCTCGAATATATTGTATGCTGCCATCATAAATTTGATGCAGATTAACATGTGCATATCTTTTAGGGCTTCGGTTTCTTAATTTTTCTACATTTATTGACAGAAATATTAATATTAATACTAATTGAAACTTAGAACCACTGTGTCAACTGTGCTGATAGCTGTCATTTGATGAAGGGGCCTGCCAATCGCAACTGTAACTGCAACCAAGCCTGTAACTGTGTGTAAATATGGAGTCTGCCATTGTTGTGTGTGTGTGTGCTTGGTCTTCTTTTTCTTCTGTGCTGTGGGAAACAAATTGTTGCAAAAGCCACAACAGCAACGTTGAGCGTAGAACCTATCGAACATAGTCGTCGTCAGTCAGTTCATTGTTGTTTACAGCCGCCAACATTCAGTCATTCACATTCACTCACATGCACACACACACACCAAAATACACACCAGAACACACAACATACAGCCAACCGCCAAACGCAACATACAAAAACTTGATAGAGACAGAGACACCAACAAGCCGGAAGTGTGCGTTGCTCGCGAGCAAGATGGCCACATGCGGAGAGAAAGAAAGAGAGAGAGTGCCAGAGCCAAAAGCAGTGATAGAGATAGAGAGGACGGCAGAGAGAGAGCGAGAGAGAGAGAGAGAGAGGGGGAGAGAGTGAGATAGAAAGAGCGAGCTAAAACAAAAGTCGAGAGACAGATAGATAGAGTGAAAGGCTGGCAACGCTGGCAGCGAAGCATCGCTGGCAGAGGAAATGTGAGCAGAGATCTATCGGGAGAGAATTTGGCCAGCAGTAGCAGCAGCAACAGCAACAGCAACACAAACAGCAACACAAACAGCAACAGCAACCTGGCCCGGCCAACAGCGAACGATGCTGGCCATTTCCGCAGTGTCTTTTTGGTTGGCGAGGCTAACGCGCGCGCGTTTTTCTGCTGTGATCTCGAACCGAACAGCTAAGCAGCCAAGCAACAGCAACAACAACAACAGCAACAATAGCAACGACAGCAACAAGAAAGCACGCCGCGATTCAAATAACGAAAGTCGAGCATTGCCAGACGCAACGGCAATTTTCTTTTCTTTCTTTTTTTGTCATCAGTTGGTGGATTTGTTTGCCCAAATCTTTGGTGCGTCTGTGTTTGGACGAGTCCTGGAGATTCAAGTGCTGTTTATTGTGATTCTTTTTTTTCCGGCTCTAAATTTTGTTTCCGTGTTTTTGGCTGTGCGATCGAACAATGTGAAGAGTCCTTTCACACGTGATGCAGCCGTTCGCAGGCCTTGTGCCGGCGCCCGCAACGCGAGCGACGAATGCGATCGTATGAATATTCATATTATAGTACATATGTATATCTTCCCCTCTTTTTTTTATTGCTCTTGGCGATCTGTTTTGATATATTCCCAAAATTTAAATCCCACACACACACACACACACACACATACTTGCTCACTTGTTCGTCGCCGATTTTGCTACAATTCCAAAATTGTGCATGCTGACCAAGTGATTGGGATATTGCCACCGCTCTGGCCACCGCTCCATCATAATTAACTCTACAAAGTAAATAAATGAACTGGCCAAATGGACCCGGCCATGTGTTAATGGTGCGAGGCAGTCGCGGCAACAGTTTCGCCTTTATATTCACCATCAGCGTGTACAAAACCAAAATTTTCACATTGCTTTTGTTTTTATTTTTTTTTTTGCCAATTTTCTGGTTTGATTTTATTTTTATTTTTATTTTTTTTTTTTTTTTTTGTATTGAGGTGATGGTTTGCCAGGAGTGTGAGAGGCAGGCACTACATTGCTCAGTGTTCAATCACCCACGATCTTGCGCCTTCAATAGCCACTCCTCCCATCTCATTGAATACAAAGTGAGCATTTTGCATGGGAAAATTGCCTTTGGCACTGTGATCTCAGTGATGATCGAAAACGTTTTTACGTACACAAATTTTAATTTTTCATCTTTATTTTTATATATCATACGCCGCGATGTCGACGACGCTGCTTCTACTTCGGCTTCTGCTTCTGCCTCTGGTGTTGTCTTTTTTGTTGTTTTATATCATTCACACTTAGTTTAGAATGATATATTAGGTTGTGGTCTCTTGTTTGTAAAAGTGTTTTTTAATACTCATTTCGGGGGGTGTTGCCCCCTATTGGAGGGAAGTTTTAATAAACTGATGCAAACAATTCGGAATGAGTTAATTATGGCTCGAGATAAGTGGAATGGGTAACAGTGTTGTTCAGTCAAAATCGAAGCTTGAAGTAACTACGTGATATTAAAATGTATGCGTGTCTATACAATATGTTCACATATTAGATGAGTTGCCAAAATCCTTGAGAAGACACTTTATCAAAGCCCTAACATAATATTAGATAAAAAAGCTTCCAACTGTTCAGTTTATCAAAAATGTCAAATATTATGCAACTTGACGAACATTACCAATAATATTCCGATTTAATGTATTTTCGCTTACTTATGTGGTTTTATGGCATCCCAAGAAGACTTAAGCCTATCAACCTCAAACTGTCTAGTTGTGTTTAGCATTCATATCGTCTATTTGCTTACTGTGCGATATTTTTTCGCTGCCGCCAAGACCCCCAAAAATAAATATATACTCGAAAATAAATAAATCGCATATCGTATATTGTGTTTGACAACTGCAGCTTAGATCGAAAATCCCCTGACAAATCCATATGTACATACAATATATATATAAATATATATTGATATATAGATCAAAGTTATCAAAGATATCGCAATATGTACAGTCTTTCGTTTTTTTTGAGAATCAATTCGAAGTCGATGTATTTGATGCTGTATCAAATTTTGACCTCAACTGATGCTGAACCAGATGAAACAGAATAAAGAATGCACGCATGCAGTTGAATTTTATGATCCTATTCGGTTGAATTCGAATCAGTCTTATATATACTCGTAGTACTCGTAAATACTACGATGATCTCTGAGGCACGTCAAAGTTTCCTTTACTTTGCTCAGTATTAGAATTTCAGTTGTTGTTGTTTGGTTTCGTTTTGTTTCTTGTGATTTTCTCATTACTCATTGCTCACATTTGTCAGGCGACGAGGAAAACCCAATTAGTCATTGGGAGGTGCCGAGCTTTGGGCTTCCTATTTGATAGCTCAGTTGTTGTTGTTGTTGTGTGTTCATATTTTTTGTCATCCGCAGAATTTAAATCCATAATTATAGATGCGTATATTTAAATTTAGACACGCATTGTTAGCAGTCCCATCACCATCTCTCTCTCTCTCTCTCTCTTTTCTGTTTGAATAAAACAAATGGAGAGAAAAAAGTGAGAATGTGAAAATTACAAAGTGGAACAGGAACGATTTAGGGTAAATGGGAATGTTTTTTTTTTGTGCGGGGTGTGAGAACAAAATTGGGGACTCGTTTAACTTAATTAGGCATGCGTAGCGACAACAAACAAATTTGGAAATTTTGGAATTACTGGGTATTATCATGAAGCATGCCTGGCATATTTCCAAATGCCCTCGCCCCAAAATATTTGTTGAAATGTCAAGTGCAGTAGTGGCCGCTACTAAAAGCGTATCATTTTATAAACAACAACAAACACAAGAGCAACAGGGAGGAGCAGACCAACAGCAGCAACAACAACAACAAATTACAAACTAAACACACACAAAAAAAAAGCCTCAATAAAACTTATGTGATTTTTCGTTGGGCCTTGAGTTCAAGCTCCTTACGAGCATCGTTACCTATGTACAAACAGATATAGGTCGATTTTTGTGTTTGGCAATATAAGTAAATATATATATATATATATATATAGACTCCGAGTGGAGTCGAAAGTCTACATCGATCATCTCTTCTACACTTGATGGCGCGTTAATTATTGGGAAGCCTTCGCCATTGACTTTGCCTGGTTAATTGGGCCACGTGTACGTATACGCAATTTGAACACAGACGTTGTCATAGTTTTTCTGTGTGCGTGTGTGCGTGTGTGCGTATGTGTGTATGTGTGTGTGTGTGTGTGTGTGTTTTATTATGCCTTCGACTAGGAATTTGTTTATAAACATTGCAATTTTGAATTTTACTGTTGATTTCGTAGCCCCAGCTGCGTGAGCATAAATTTATTAACATATGCTTACATATATACATGCATATATATATATATATATATATATATATGTAGTATATATTTATGTGTATGCTACTCCAACCCTAAACCTATACGCACTGAACTGGAAGTCCATCTAATGCCACATTTTATTTATATGCTCGCAACGTTTTTATTTGTTTTTTTTTTTCGTTACGAAATTTCAATGGTTGCCGAGCATTAAAGCTACCGCTAAAATAAATATTTCTACATTCAACCATAGAGAGTGAAAATGTTTCCAATTGCTTTTCAATAAACAAACTACCGCCGCGAACCGAACTCAGTGAAAATATTAAAACAAAATTTCGCACGTTTATCAAAAGTTGCCGTCGCTATTTAATTTTGAATTTCGCTTTCGCGTTCGTCATTGCAATAGTAATCGTCAGACTGGAGTGCTGATCAGTGATTCAACCAGTCGTTATTCTCAAAACAGTACCCAAAAACGAATCTTCAAATAAAAACAAGACACAAAACAAAACTAAATCAAACAAAATTTCAAGAAGAAACGAGAATAAGACAACAATCGGAATTGAATGCAGCCAAAAATGCCAAGTTATATGCAAGGGAGGAAGCGCATAAATAACAAGTGTCCACCCAAATCCATCAGTCACCAACAGCGGAACCAGCGGAACCAGCTCACAAATCCTAGCCAGCCGAGTCAGTTCATTGTTTCAGCAAATGTTCGAGCTGCGTACCGAGCCCACTGCTCTCGCCCAGCTGCTCAGCGGCCGATGATGGCCTGGCCGCGCAAGAGAAAGAACTCCAATCCTCAAAACGATATCTCCCAGCTCAGTTCAGATCAAATAATAGAGTAACTCGAGTAGTACACAATATCAGAGTCCAGACTGCATTCAATTGGATCCTCTACGATACAAACAGACACAAACAGACACACACACACCAACACACCCACACACACACACGCAAACACACACATACACACACACACAAATACAGAGAATATAGGAAGGAGTGAGCGTCTCAGTTGAAGCCATATACCAATTGAGCTTTGGTAAAAACACTCCGCGCTCCGCTCTGTTTAACAAACCATGTTAGATATATTTCGTGGATTGAAAAACCTTGTAAAGGTCAGTCACGTTAAAACCGATTCGATAGTATTCCGCCTGCACTACTCAATAACTGTGATGATTCTGATGTCATTCTCGCTAATTATAACCACACGCCAATATGTGGGTAATCCAATTGATTGTGTACACACTAAAGATATTCCAGAGGATGTGCTCAACACATATTGTTGGATACAGTCAACGTATACGCTCAAGAGTTTATTTTTGAAAAAGCAAGGCGTTTCGGTGCCATACCCGGGTATTGGCAATTCCGATGGCGATCCTTCCGATAAGAAGCACTACAAATACTATCAGTGGGTGTGCTTTTGCCTATTTTTTCAGGTGAGTTTCAAAGGGGCCCACTCACACACTACTCTTGCAATTTGAATGAAATCAGTTTAGATACTAACACACAGAATTGATAAAAAAAAATGGTTTTAACAATAGCGGGTAACTATCAGTGTCGTGCCATAAGCTACTCAAACATGCGTGCCTATCGGTGGGTACTCATCAGAAGGTGGGTACCGAATAGAAGGTATCTTTAATACGGTACCTGTTAGTGGTACCTTCCATTGCCGAAATACCGAATACCTACTAGTGGATGCCCAAGCGATTGCCTTTCAGTTTGATTTAGTTGTAGTGCTCCTCTGTACTCCATACATACATGCATATATTTCTATCTATTTGAGACCATTGACAGCCTCATCCCCTTGACTTTATTTCTGTCATCGCACAATGCATAAAATGTCAGATTATTGTCAGGCAGCGACTAAAGCAATTATCAATTTTGATGTATTCAGTAATTAAGAGCTTCACTAACTAGTGTGTGTGTCTGCTAGTCTGCCATAAACTAAGGGACGGGGGGGCGTGTTGCCCATTGTGATATGCTTACATACTTTATGCATATGCATATGTATATACACACACACACACATACACGCACACACTCATAGTGTACATAAAAGAGCGTACATTTTTCAGTTTGAGTTTCAATACAAAATTGAAATTTCCAAATATTTGTGCTACTTTTTTGGTTGCTGTTGTTGTTGTTGGTTGGCCTTTGAAACACAAGCAGCTTGAATGCGCATAGCCAATGAAATGAAAATGTTTAAACATATCCGTATTACCCGATTTGTTGCTGTTGCGAACATTTCACTTACGCACACTCAAGGCCAACAACAGTTGACTGGGCCGATATTCTCTCTGTGCTGTGACGTATTTGCATACGTCTACGTATTTGCATACATTTAAGTAATCGCATCTATGTATGTGCCTGTATGTGTGCCAATTTATCTATGTTTGATTGCTCGATTGTTTGTTTGTTATACGAGGCGCATGCAATGTTTCACATGTTTCCGTTCAATTCTAAGTTATAATACTTCATTACTTTCCGCCAAGTGTTTATGCAATCACAATTATTCCAAATACAAATTATTAAATATAAACCATAATTCCTGTTTACAAATATTGTGTAAGTGGAACAATTAAATAGAGAGCACAGGTCGTGTTATATATTTTCTTCTTAATTAATTGATAATTAATGGAATGGGGAAACCAAATCTCAACCAATCTTATAGGCTAGTTTGCCGCATTGCAAAACAATATACAAATTATATATGCAAAATATACAATTAAATACATGTATGCTTAAATAGTATTGGGTCTCAGTTGACTTGAATTACACGAATGGTATTTAATAAAATATCACAAAAATGTTACTTTGCAATAGATAGGGACAGGTGCTCCCCTATATCGATCTTCCCCTTCTGAACTGCATCTAATGACTCTGCTCTCATTTACAAGTGGCTGCGAGGGGCGCTGAACGATTGCACAATAATATATCTTCCCGCTAACAATGTACAAATATTAAATGTATATTTTTATCACACTTTTGTCACAGTCGCCACTCGTTATGTGTTCTTTGTTGCGGTGGGGATGGGGGGTTGGCGGGGTTTCGTCCCGCCTCGTCTGGCCTGGGGCTTGGTTGGCTTTTCTCGGTTAGTGTCACAGTGGCGATTATAGACGTCGCCGTCGCCGTCGTCGTCGTCGTCACAGTCACCCAAATAACTATAAATACATTTATTATGGTATTCTCCCTGCTTAATGACGCGTAGACGGCGTTTCTATAATTTACACATTTTCCATTCTGCTTAATTTGTGGATTTATTAATAAAAGCGACGGGTGTGACGGGTGTGACGGGTGCGACGGTTGCGACCCGAAATCGAAATCGAATAAATGCACTGAGATGCGTAACGTATATATGAAAGTATATAGTGCATACATATCCATGTACTTTTCATTATTAACAATAAAAGTCAATGATCATAAATGCCATGAGAAAACAAGCAAACTCATAAATCTGTAGACATCAACTGGCTGTAAATATAGAAAACCTGGTACCGACTTAGTTAACTACAGTCTTCCCAAACTAGATAGATAGATAGAAATAAGTATGATTTCAGGATCACAATTGGTTGCCCATAATGTAGGGCCGAGTGGTGTGGATTGGGGAGGAGTGTGGAGTGCTATATGATAGCCATCGATCATCTGCTGATCAAGAATTGATTGCGATCGCTAATGGCCAGGCCATTAAGTTAGACAATGCAGCTATAAATTTTAAAAGCAAAATTGCCTGCAATAAGCGTTCATGAACACGAACCCGCTCCCAATTTGATGAGCGTTTGACTTTTCATTTTCATTTCCATATCCATTGCGATTTGGATTTTCAGTTCCATCTCGAATCGGATCATATCGATCAGGCGCTCCCCTCAGATATGTCAAAAGTTGGAATGTTTGTTCTTTGCCTAGCTGGATATTTATTGAAAAGGCGCAGACAAACATAAAAGTGAACAAATAATAATTCTGGCCAAATGCCAACACAAAATGCTGAGCAGAAAACAAGCAGAGACTGAGAGGGTTGCCATATAATGATGTTGGGATAGAATGGGAAATGCGTTGCCTTAAGTTGCCTCGTTTCGCTTGCGCTTGCGACTGAGGATCATGTACGTTGGGAGACGGGCTGGCAGCGTGACGCCGACAGCGACGACCACGACGACGACGACGACGACGACGACGACGACGACGGCTGGACTCCCCACCCGAGTTGCATGGACATGTGTTTATATTTGACTTATGTGGTTTTATTTTGGTTCACGCTGTCCGGAACGTGCATTCAAATGGGATTCAGTGAGGGGGCTGCCAACAGCGCCAACCGGGATCAGGCAACTGGCAGCAGGCAGCCGGCGCACTGGGCGTCAACATAGGTCTTTATGGATCCAGCCAAAGCCCAACCGAACAGAGCAGATGAGAGCAACCACACCGGCCACCTACCCACACCTTGCCAACATGTCTGCATATCAGACTGTCTGCACTTCGACTCCTCAACGCCGGCCACAAGGCGTTCACATATTTTGCCTAATTGAAAATGCAAACATTTTCCTTTTGGATTTTGTTGATTTTGGCATCCCTTTTATCTTCACTGGGTGGCGCACAGTGAGCTTAGATCAATTGACATGGATCTTATATTATGATTGTTTTATATCTGAAATATTTAACTCTTATTATTATAGGGAACAGTTCAAATAACAATAGTGAATATCGCTCAAGCTTAAGAATTTCTTAAAGCAAGTCAATCTTTCCCCCATCTTCTGTTTACAAATGTATTCTTCTGTTTCTATAAATACCATTGATAAGGTGTGTGAAACGATCCAAGCAAATGATATTTTGATAGTTTGCTACCCAAACATATTTCACGACTGTTTAATGAGCATGTGAAATAAATTGTGTAAATTTCGGCAAGACATGTCTAAATATTAAATAATAAGTTGAAGATTTACACAAAACTTCATGCAAATAAATATAATTCATAAAATATTTGTCAAACTTTCGTTATTTATTCGAAAAATTTCGTTTTCCTAATTGGAACTCAATTTAGTTTTTAGTTTTTAGTTTTATCGATTTACAAGGATTAAATTCATTTTATTTACATTTCTTGGTACTTTAGCTTAGAGCATTAAACTTATTATTATTTAATGATATTTTTCTCAGTGCTACAAGCTTAGACTTGTACGAATAATTAGTGAATAATCTGGGTTTTAAGAAGCTTAATAGATGACATTAACAATATATGGACATATAATATAGACGATTATAATATAATATTAATTTCTATTGTTCTAATTTGCTATACTTAATATTAGATATTAGATTAAAATATAGTGTAATTTTCTACATAATTTTCCCTTAAGATGTACAGCAACAACAGTTTGCAAAAATTGTGGAACAGTTGACTCCAAATGTTTAGTTTTGGCAAAATTTGCCCCACTGTGCAGTGGCAGCGTGCATCTTTTGTGTTGAGGTGCATCTTGGTGTACTTTCTTCATTTTGATTCGGCTGCAGTTGCATTTATGCGATGTTTTTTGAATTTGAACGGTTGCCAAATTGCTTTTCCGACACACGCATCTGCGTCCCCCAAACGTAACGCAACCCCAGCCTCACCCACATCCCCACCCCACAGCTCCACACGCACACACAACTACAACTTGTAGTTGTACAGCCCTTTTTTGGCCAAGACACAAGATTTTGGCTGTTGCTGTTATTGCTATTATTGTTATTATTGCTGCTGCTGCATGTCATCGCGCCAAGCCAATTGGCAGAGGGAGATGCAGCGAGGAAAACAAATATGCATGTATATATGTAAGGGAAAAGGGAGGGAGAGGAGATAGAGTGGGAGCGAAAGAGAAAGGGAGAACGTCTCAAATGTGGCCAAAAGCAAATCAAACGCATCATTTGACTTCCGGCAAGCCGTTGCATGCCATGAGCCTATCACTTGTCTGTCCATTTGTGTATTGTTGCTGTTGTTGTGGCTATTGTTGTTGCCGTCATAAGGCGATACAATGTGCCACAGATGTTGGCCAGCTATAAAACCATGCGGCGACGCCAATATCAATTCATTATTTTTCGGATTTGTTGCAACAGGCGCAAAGAAATGCAAAATTTAGCCAGCAAGCACGTTCGCCTCCCCTGACCCCCCTTAAACCCTCTTACAGCCCCACACCACCACCCACACCACCACCCACATCACTCCCACACTCCAACCACATTTGGCATTGCGCGTGTGGTGACGTTTTGTGGCTAGAGTCATATAGTACTTATTTTAGCATTTGCCAAAACCAAAAAAAAAAACCAAAAACCAAATGAACAATGAAAATCGAAATGGAAAAGCAATGAGATGGTGGGGGGAGAAGGTGGGAGGCGAAGAGGGGTTAGTTCAGATTGGCGCAAAACAGCAGCCGCCAGTTGGGCGCCCACTAAATAAACTGAACTCTCACCTCGAGAATTCTTGCAACTAAGCTATTGTCTGCCACTGCCCGGGGATTAACACCTGCCCACATGCATGTGTCAAGTAGACACACCCTAGACCAGGCATGGGGTGGGGGGGGCCGTAAAGAGGGGTAAGAGCTGCCAAAGTAAGCATTTGCACAATTTAGTGTCAAATTTACGATACAAGTTATTATTAATTTGTCATCAGAGCTCACATAAATATAACACAAATGAAGAAGACAATTTCTGAAGAAAAGATCCATTTAATTGGGCAAGATTTTAGTCTTTGTCACTGTCTGTTTCTCCATCTAGCTCATCTATCTATCTATTATTTATATAGTATCTGCATCTGTATCTGTATCTGGCATGGTTGGCCGTCTATTGTTGCTTTTGTTTTTCTGTTGCTAATGGATCACGGCTAATTGTTTTGATGACATGCCTATAAATACTTACATACATATAGTAGATACATTTAAATGTCTGTCTGTCTATCGATCTGTCTGGCTATCTGTAAGTAACGAAATTAGCAAATAATAATAAGAATGCATGAGAGCATTAACTAGGAAGGTCATCCAAAGGCAATCTTAAGCATATATAATGCCTTTGGCATTGTTAACTGGAATTATCTTTCTCTCTCTCTCCCGCTGCCTGTCACTCTCTCTATATATTTCTATCTCTCTTTGTATGTGTTTTAGGCTAAGCAAACAGCTGGCGATTGTCACTTGTCAAATTTAAGCGCTTTTACGACAATTCCAATGCGACAGACGCCTACACAATGGCAACATCTCACCTTTACAGAACTCTATACCTATATATTTATTGCTCGCTCTATGACTCTCTCTCTCTCTCTCTCTCTCTCTCTCTCTCTCTCTCTCTCTCTCTCTTTCTCTATCTCACTCACATACACACACACACTCATTTTGTCTATGTATTTATGTTTCTTTGCAGGCAATCTTATTTTACACACCAAGATGGCTGTGGAAATCTTGGGAGGGTGGCAAGATTCATGCACTCATCATGGACTTAGATATAGGCATTTGTTCCGAAGCCGAGAAAAAACAAAAAAAGAAGTTACTTTTAGATTATTTATGGGAAAATTTAAGGTAAGCGATTTGACTCCATTTTCTGCATAACTATTTAGACTCAAAATTCGCAAATTGAAACAAACTTTGTTTCAGATATCACAATTGGTGGGCCTACAGATATTACGTGTGTGAACTGCTCGCCCTAATAAATGTGATAGGTGAGTAGCAATGGGCAACTTTATCAACAGCAAACATTGTATTATCGTCATCAACATCATCATGATCATCTTGAGGTGCAGCTGCTGGTGCAGAGAACTGTTCCAGTTTTGCATAATGTTATAAACAATTATGGGGTTAACCATACACAATGCCCATCGCATCTGTATATAGTATATGAAATACCAAATATATACCATTGATATATGTATATAGTGTGTATTCACTATGTTCACTCATTCATTTTTCCGAGGAAAATCAATGACGATCTTTTATCGACTGACCGTAGCCACAGGCCGCATCAAAATAAACAAATGTTACTCATTGCTGCGGATTCCTGGCTTCGATTTAATTTAGCGGACAACGTGCGCCACGTGCGCCACATTCGGAAATCTAACAAAATAATTAGCTGTCAGAATATACATAAGAGAAATAAAGAAATAAACAATTATCAAATACATTTACAACTATACAACACACACACACACGCATTCATATGCACATCTGAACACAGCATTAACAAATGAACAGAGTTCAGACTAATTGAATGTTGACGTTTGATGAGCTTACGAAAGGAGTAATTAACGCTATTCAACACAGTTCAATTTTTAAATTTCATATTTTCAGTTCATAATCATAAATATAAAAATATGTATACATATTTACGACGAGCTTAGTGTCAAATTTTTTGGCTGATACAAATTTAAAGTGAAGATCAAACGTTTAAAATAACTTTGATATTTTATAGAACCTCTTTGATTCCCATTGGTTCAAGGTACTTTAAATGTTCGCCAAGTATATCCTATTTAATTACAATATATACAGCTTATGAGAAGCAAATCTTCCGAAAAATCCCAAAATCAGAATGTATAAATATACACTTTCGATTAAGTTCACTTTTTTATTTTGGTAATCAATGGGAAGTGAATTCTGATGAAGATACATTCCGTATAATCGCATTGCAATGATAGATTAACTAATTTACCATGTCGTTAACGGAATCACATCGAACAGAACCGGATAAATAAATTGATCAAGACACCGTAAATAACGGAGCACCAAAGATAGAGCGTGCATCAAGTGGCTAACCTATCATTCGAAAGGCACCCTCATAATTTACAACAAATCTTGTTAACAATAACATATTTCTAACACACACACACACACATACCGACAGCGTGCTGGAGGCAGCAATAAACCCATAAATTACACCCGCTAGTTTCGTAGAATAAACACTCTTTCATATACTTTCGTATACTGCCATTTAAACATTTCTATATATATATATATATATATATATATATGTATATATATATATATATATATTTATCTGTGTATATGTATATATAAATAAATGTATCTTTATTAATATTAACTTTGTTCGTTGCATAGGTCAAATGTTTCTTATGAATAAATTTTTCGATGGCGAATTTATGACATTTGGCTTGGATGTGATAGATTATATGGAGACCGATCAGGAAGATCGCATGGATCCGATGATTTACATATTTCCCAGAATGACCAAATGCACATTTTTTAAATATGGCTCAAGTGGGGAGGTGAGTACATATTGGCAACTATAACCGACTGATATTGATTTCAAATATAATATTTCTAAGTGCTGGAATATTCGGAAATATAATAATATATCTGTCTCTGTCTCTGTTTCTTATTGCGATAGGTGGAGAAACACGACGCCATTTGCATTTTACCATTAAATGTTGTTAATGAGAAAATTTACATTTTCCTTTGGTTTTGGTTTATATTATTAACGTTACTCACATTGTTAACGCTAATATACAGGGTGGTTATTATATTCTCGCCTCGAATGAGGGTCTATTTATTTCGAATGAGATTTAGGTGAGTATATATTATCGACATATATATATATATATATATATATATATACACTGTATTTGGACTAACACTGATTTCTCTTTTTCTCATCCTTTATTCATCGATCATTGTAGGTTAGTGCGTCGTGACGCAATTGAAATAATCGTCCGTCGTTCCAAGATGGGCGATTGGTTTTTGTTGTATTTGCTAGGTGAAAATATAGATACAGTTATATTTCGTGATGTTGTACAGGACTTAGCGAATCGTTTAGGACATAACCAACACCATAGGGTGCCTGGATTAAAAGGTGAAATACAGGATGCATGATATTGGGAGTATTAGAAAGGATACGAAATGCAATATGTCGTCTCTATATAAAAACAACAACAACAACAACAACATTCAACTATTTAGTACAACAACAACAGCAGCAGCCGCTTCATAAGTTCAAAAATAAAACTGAAAAAAAACGTATCTTACAAATACAACCAAAAAAACTATCGTCAATGCTAGCACATCGAAGTCATTTTCAATCATAAATGCAGTCAGCAAATATTGCAAGAGAGTAAAGCACAGAGACACCTCGATCACGATAAAGATAACGATAACGATAACAACAAGGAATAAGATAAAGATAAAAATTAGAATATCAATAGAGCCAAAAACACACAACGAATGTAAGCGGACTAAACCGAACCAGAATCGAAATTGAAATTGAAATTTAAGAAACGTTAACTGAAACAAATTAGCCAACAAAATACAACAACAACAAAAACAACGAATAATTAAAGCAGATAAAGAATATAATTAATAATGAAGAATATTAATCACGAGGAGCAGCAGGAAAAGGAGATTTGGGCGCAGCCCCCAAGCTGCACCCAAGGACATGGCAAATGGATGCACGTAGCGACTGCATCTGGGTGCTTGTCCCATGGATTCAAGTCAACAAGAAGAAGATGAAGATGAAGAAAAATAGCAGTTGCCCAGCGACAAGAACAAAGTGTGTGCAAAAAAACGAAAACAACACGAAGACAACGAGAAACGAACGGCAAGGAAATCATGTGAAATGAAATGAAAAGGAATGGAAAGGAATGGAAAGGAAAGGAAAGGAATGTTAACAACGCTCTCGCTCTCTCTCTATCTCTCTTACATTCAGCAACATAAGCAAACATATATACAAATACACATACAAGCGACACATGCTCACACATGAATCACATGCATCACACATACACACAATATTCACACGGCATTACTCATACGCCCCGTACGTAGACGCTGCCGTAGATAGAAACCATGAAATCGCACACTCAACACACCAGCTCCGCACTTTGCTTGTCATGCAGCAACACAACAAAACACCAACGAAGTCGAGACGACGCCCGCGTATAATTGCATTTCTGTATTAACCAAAAAAATATTAAGAATAAAGAACAACAATAACGACTCGGAAGCATCACGAGTAAGCAGCAACAACAACAGCAAAAACAACAATATCTGCACCAACAGCAGCTGCAACTGTTTCGAGCTCAAGGATTGAGAAGGATGACTACAAAACTTAAGCTCGTCTCTCATTTAGTAAATCAAATGAGTGAATAAAAACGAACAAAAAAAAAATATATAGAAGGAGAAAGAACAAGGATGATAGTAGGAAGCAAAAAAAAATAAGAAAAAAAAAAGAAAAGAAAACCAAAAAAAAGCAGGCAAAAACAAAAAAGTTTAATTAAATTAAATTCAATTCAATTAAATCACTTATTAAAAGCAAAATGATATCTTGAAGTGTTCATGTATTCGAATATGTGTAGGTTAACTAAGTACAGCATATAAATAATTATAATTAATATATAATACATACATACATCTGCATATATGTGTGCATACATACGCATACGTACGTGGATCTATATATGTCTAGTATATAGTGGTATGTCTATGTAGATATATGCATACATACATATAAATATATATATGTATATATAGTACATACATATATATAAAGATACAAAACATTTTTTTTTCTAAATTTAAGTATTTGTATTACCCGCTAAAGAACAAAAATACACATATATGTTAAAACACAAAAAAAAAAAACGAAAAACAAAACAACAGAAACAAAAACTAAGCGAAAACAAAAACCAATTTTGTATGCAAAAAAAAAACAAAAAAAAAACAAATTGATACCACACTAAATGTAAAGAACAAAAAATATCAGTAAATATCAGCGACAGTTCAGTAAACGGTAAAAATACAAACTACAAGAAATACGCATAAATACCACAAAGCAAATACCAAAAACATAAAATTAAAATGCCGAGGATACTGACATTTACATACATACATACCCACACGCATACATACATACATAAAAACCTACATACAAACATACATGCATACATGCGTACATACATAGTTTAATTAAGTCAAACTTTAGCGCGCATCATTATACTATAACCAACAACAAACCAATAAAATCCGCCATGAGCATAATAAGAATTATAATTAACAAAAATAATAGCAGCCACACACTCAACAGCTAACACTCACGGAGCATAATTTGAATAAAATACAAGCATAGATCGCATACGGAAACGAAAATTAATTACCACATTATTATTAATAATCATTGTTAAACTGAAAGTGAGGGATTTGAAAGCGGGCTGAGCAGCATTCATAGCATACCAATTACCAAGTACCATTTACTAATTAAACCAATTACCAATACGATTACCGCAAAACATAACGAAATTACATAAAATAACAAATAAAAGCATAGTTCATAATATTCTGCCCAATAATTGCGATAATTGCATATATTAATCATATTATTATACACTATAGACCAATGAGCAATGAAAAAGCTAAAATGATTTGTCACAACTTGATTGCATAGCATTAAATTCACAGGCACAAACACACACACAGACACACACACTCGCATAATATATACTCGACTGTTTTTGTAAATTCTCATTGGCATTGCAGCTGTGGGAGTCGTGCTGCAGGCAGAGCTGCCAATTGTAAGTGGATCACTGATGAATCTCAAATCGAAACAACTAATCATCTTGAGCCCTCTGGTCTCTGCTCACTCACACACACACAGGCACAAAAAGGAACAAAACGCACACACACACATACATGAAAATCATCACATGCAGCGGGTACAATCTCTCAGCCGACCGGAAGTAATACTACTTACAATACTCTTACACACTAACATACTTACATACCACTAATATATATATAAAATATATATATATATATATGTGTGTGTGTGTGTACTTCGATCTTCTCATTTACATTCACATTCGCATCGAAATATCGAATTGACCACATCATGTGCTACAAATTGTAATATCCGTCCAGAAAACTTTTTGAAGCGCACTTTATTTGTAAGTTTACAAAGAAACAACCAAAAAAAAAAAAAAACAAAAAACGATTCGTTTAAAGACTTAGCTTGAGCCAGATCTAATATAATCGTTTCGTTATCACTTTTGCTCATCATCATTTAGTTGATTTCAATGTAAACAAAATAAGATATCAACTGAAAAAGGACCAAACAAGTTTCAAACGCCTATAAAACGCTTTCAATTTGAGTTGTAGCAGAACATTCAACAGAACAAACTGAATCCCCTTCTATAGTATATCTATCCATTTCAAGTGTATCCTTGTAACAGTTAATTGCTCTCAGTCTAACGCATGTATCTGTCCCACTCTGTCCCTCTACTCTTCCACTCTTCTCTTATACACTAAGAACGACTAAAGACGACTATCAGACACAGCCAAAGAAGCCAAGCCAACGAACAAACGTCACTGCCAGCGAAAATGTTGTAGAGTTAAAGTAGACATTTATAGCAAATACTCATATACCCTGTTATATAGGAAATAAAAGGCAGCTCCAGTTCAGCTACAATGCCAATCGCGAATCACGAACCACGAACCACAACAAACCACAGCTTGGCACTTCTACAATTTGGAATTTCATAGCAAAAAACATATACAAACGTATGCATATGTATAAGTAGAATGCGGGTGAAGGATTTGGTGACACTTCAAGGAGTTTGTCCCCAAACTGGAATCGTCTGCAGTCGCTTAAACTTTACAAAAAAGAAACAACAACAACAACACAATACTTAGCTTTTAGTCCATAATTATTTACTTAGTTACTTTTGTTATATTTGATTTGTATATTTATTTTGATTTTCTCACAACAGCATATTTAAAGACGCATTAGATTTTAGCGAACATGGTTTGAAGATAATAAAAATAAATGGAAAAGAAAAACGAAAAACGAAAATAAACGAAAGAAATGAAAAACTAAATCTAACTTCTAGGTCGCTATACAACTTTATAGAAAACAATAATTATACCAATAACGATAACATGTAATTTTAGCATATTTTTTTTCAAATGCTTATCGCCAAATATGTGTAAGCCTAATGTCTAGTTACGAGAACATAATGACAGTACAGAGAAGGAAATAAGAACTTGGTCTAGAAAGAAACTAAAACACAAAGAAACAAAAAATTAGTTTGTTCGTGGGGTTTTTTTGTCACTAGCCAAGTAAAGGATGAAATAAAGTAATGATTAATTGAATATAAACTGAAATCTATGCAACACACACAAAACCAAAAAATAAATAAATAAATAAACCATGTAAAAATCATATATACAAAATAGAGAATGATAAATGGTATTTAATGTAATTTTATGGAGAAAGTGAAGTGAAGGAAAAGCAACATAAATTATACATATACATATGCTAAAGTACGCATAATACAAGGAAATGCCATTAGTTGTTAGAGTTAATGCGATGCGTACATGCATACATAAAATACATACATAAATACATTTATGTATATATATATTTGTATATATATATATATATATATATATATATATATATATATATATAGTCTACATTTATTTAAATATACATATAATGATAAACATATGTCTGTAAGGACATCTTCTTTCTGTATATGAACACAGCTCATAATACTTAGTTAGAGGAGCAGGGTTCAGCAAGCAAAAATGTAACTCAAATTGAACTAAAAGCAATTGTAAAATATCTCAAAGTCTCCTAGATGAGAGCAAGTCGAATATCGTATTTCGTATACCGTACATTGAATATGTCGCAACGTATTCTTTTTCCAATGCAATACTTTATTTTTCAAAGTGTTTGCAGCATTATTAATTACGATCTAAACATACGAATTGTATTAACTAAGAGTATAATACTTATTTATACTTATATACACCTAAAAGCATGAGAACATTTCATTCTTGAATAAATCAAGAAGGATAAACCACTAGATGCAATAAGCATTAAGCCACAAACAGAACATTTGGACTTTTGCCAATCTTTAACAATTTTCCTCTTTACAATACACTTCACTCCAATGATTCTCACAGGCAGTACACAGTCCACAGTCAATAGTCCATATTGCTCCTAAAAAATAAAGAAAACATAAACGAAAACCTTAAATCTAGTCCAAGCAAAACTTGTACTTGATGAACTTTTTGCTTTTCATTGTACTATCAGGCAACAGAAGCAATAAATGTGACTTTGAATAAGCCCTTTTAATAAGGACTTTTAATCCTATCTTACTGGTATTGTACTTGTTACATACTAGACATATACATATATAACGCGTATATGTTATGCACAAGCTGTTCTTAGAATCTCAAACGCAAACTCAAACTCATATTTAAATGAAAAGGTTTTTTTTTATTATTATTACTATTATTATTATTTTATTTTATTTTTTTTTGTATTGCTGATTTCGATGTTCTTATGAGGTACTACGCTACTTATATACTTATATACATATTGGATTTACGAAATGTTATATAGTATATTATGTATATGTATTATTTGTCATTTCTGTATGTCGTTGCTTAGTTAAGATACTAGTTTTGTACTTATTGTTATCTTTTTTGGTTTTTTTTTTATTGCTTATTCGGCAATAAAGCGAATACATATCATTGTTTATTTAGTTTTATTTCCCACCACTTCGCCGCCCGATGTGATGAGATTAAAATGCGGAAAGTTTCTTCATTTTGATTTGATATGATATTGATTACGTGTACTCTGTTGCCCGGTTTCCAATACAAATGAGCACTGTGCTTCACAGTCGTTTTACAATGTAGTTCACTCTTTTTCCCACTCCCACAGCACTCTCTCTCTCGCTCTCTCTTTCGCTCTCTCTTTTTCTGTCTGTCTCCTTCGCACTCTGTAGGCAAATCCGACTTCGAAATCGCCATGCAATAAGTAGGTCAATTTTCTCGGTTTAAGCATTTAAACGAAAGATCAACATTTAACGAAGTATATTGGTGAAATTTTCTCAACTTATATTTGAAATACATTTTTAAAAAGATACATTAGCAAATGCAATATATAATACTTATTTGGTTGGACTCTTGAACTCTTGAACAACAAATAATACTAATCATAATTAATATAAAAATCCAATTTTATAATAACTGTGCAGATAGTGCAAACTTTATATTAGAAACAAATGTTTTTTATCGTAAACCAAATGAATCGAAATTGTAAAAAATACTACGATTATGAGACCGAGGGGAAATATTGAAAATTCTGAAATCTGATACTGCCAATTCACGTTCTCAGACATATTTAGAAAACAAAAGAAAAAAAAAACACAACATTT